ACTAGGAATCTTTTGCAATACCTTGGGTTTGACAGCACAATTAAAACTAATCTTTTTCAAACCTTGGATTTGACAGAGCAATTAAAAAATCAATCTAACGATTAATTTGCGAATCTTCGCTTTGCCAAAATAATGCGAAAACAAATTTATTAAATTGCCAATCAACCATTCGGGTCTTTTGGCAATAACAACATCTAGCTCCAGGCTCCTTTTCAAATATCCATCTCCTAGACTCTACCGTGTACGTTTATATCCGCATAGATTTCATATAAATATAAGATGATGTATATAGCAAAATTAGAATTAGTTTAGAGTTTGCACTACGTACATACTGTACGTAACTAACTTCTCGGGCAGATGCTTTTCGCTCTGTCCTCAAATTTATCTTGCACTTAATTGTGATTATTTACTTTTTAAACGTTAATAAAATTACTTATACCTAACTTGTGTAACTTGTCTCTGCAACCTTTTTTCCTATTCAACCGTCAACGTCTTTGAACTCAAAAATATAAGCGTTAGTGAGGGATCACTACACCAATCACAAACCACCTGTCTCCGACGTGGGGGGTCTGAACGATCCGGCGGCTCAGTATGCATGCGCGCAAGTGGGTCAACTTACGGCGAATAGAGTATAGTACCGTTGTAGTACCTTGTAATACAGTAGAGTTGCCAGTTGTTGGAGGTTTTCACAATTGAATAAACTGATAACATGCGATATAACTGTAAAAAAGTAGGTACAGTAGGGGATGGTCATTAGGACCAGATATTTGCCTCAGGATACCAACAAATTTCTAAAAAAAAAATATATTATGTTTGAAATAAAAAAATAATGTAAATTATTAATAGTAAATTAAATATACTTCTAAACTGTCTTGACATAATTTAGCTGTTAAGGCATATAAAAAACCACAGTCATTCAAAAGATAATTGACTAAATCTTGAAAATTCATCCTTAAATAAACTTAATTTTTGGAATGCGACTACTTTTTCATATTTAGGATGATAACTTATATCTGTGAACCATTTTGGTGGAACAGTAAGTAAACTTAGTTTTTCCAAAACAGATTTAAATAATGTAGTAGTCAGGGGCGTATTTATGGGGGTGGCTGAGGAGCTTCAGCCCCCCCTCCCCCGAAATCTAGGAATTGTTTATTAAGTCTACTTATTATGTTCTACTAGATGTAAAATCGTAAAAGTTCAATATAATTTTATAAAGAATTATTATTAACAACGAACAAATTATAATGTGTCAATGACAATTTTGATCGTAACGATTATATCTTTGAGTTCGGTACATAATGCTTAATTTTGACGTGCGGTACTGCTGCATTATCGTAATTTCGATTTATTTTATCTAGAATTGATTTACTGATATTAAACACGCGTTGAAGCGTTTCAATCACCGTACAATAATTATACGAGCATTATGAGCCCGTATGAGCTAAAAATATTTCCGAGAAGTTGTGACGACGGCCGGCTGTTATATTATAGTCACGTACGTTGCACCAGCCCAGCCCATTTCGAAATTTTGGAAAATTTTTTCACCAATATTTAGCATGCAATTAGCATGAATTCGCACGACTGTCGCCAGAATTCGCACGACAATTTTTTATGGGTAAATGGCGCCAGCCCGGCCCATTGTAGAAATTTTGCGAATTTCGTTGTTCTCACTGTGCCAATATTTATAGTTCACCATTCGCATGAATTCGCAAGACTGTCGTCAGAATTCACAAGACCATTAAATATTGCAATGCTCTCCCCCTAATCGATGATTAATATATACAGGTTAGGTCCTCCAATGCATTCCCATCAATAAATTGTTTTAATCATAATCTTAATAACAATATATATTATATTATTCAATGTTCTATTGTGCCCTTTTACTATCATTAAACATTATTAACAATAATATTATTTGTCGATATGTAAATAATAAACCACAAGATAAAATATTGTAAATTTAGATAGGTACTTATTTAATATACATTATTTTAGTACCTTTTGCATTAAAAAGTCCTATAATATATTGTTATGAGTGTCGTAATTTTTTGTCAGATTCGACTGTACAATGATATGCAGATATAAAATTTTGAAAGACGATTAGATTACTAGGATTACGTGATTACGCCATATTTACAGGTTGCATTTATAAAACAGGTATGATGTTTGCTGCATTAATAGATTCGAATACTTTGGGTATAAAAGAAGTTAATGAGATTGGTCAGTAATTTATAGGTTAATTATTATACTTATGAATAGTCTAAACGAATATTGTTTTGTTTAAATTCAAATATTTAGCATACCATCATTATAAAATATACATCAAATTTGTATATGTGGATATATTATATATAAAAAAAAATCCTCACTATTTTCTCCGTAAACCAGATTTTATAGCTAATCCTTTTTGAAACCTAAATTCTAATTTCTTATACTAATAATCCCAAAAACAACTTGGTAGTTCAGGGTTAAAATTCATTTTCCAAAATTTCTCATTTCTAAATATATTGTGAATGCTCATATTGCGGATAATCTAGGTCCTTATTTTACCAGTATTGCAACAATTGGGTGTGCTCGGTGCAATGCCTGAAATAACCAAAAGATAAAATTACCCGTTACCAATTTTAAAATTCATAACAATTTAAACATATACTAATATTAAAATGAGTCTAATAGCACAGTATAATTACCATTTTTGCTATAAAAAAGTCGTATGACCTATTTTTCAATTATTTTAATTTACATTAGTAAATTTGGTAACTTTGATATAATGATATTGATTTGTTGGGATGGTTAATAAAGAGTAATGAGTAATGACTAATAAATCATCCTTGTATTATATTTTAATAATAACAAAAATAATATTAATTTGGCGCCTCAAAACAAATCCTCGCACACGGACCCAAGAGTTTATAGTTGTGGCACTGCATTATACTCAAACTATTATCATTAAACAAACCACACTTTATGAAAACGACGAATGTACAGACACTTTCTGTTGTTTAGCGTTCTATTTTACACTTGGAAAATGATGCACATCGACCGATGATTCAGAGCTTAAATGAATCATATTTTATATTATATTTCAATGTTATGAATGCATTGGTATCATTGATTATAAACAATATCAATGATTGGTACTAATTTACTTATATACTCCAAGATAGTTAAGAATTATTGATATTTATACCGTAGTTATACCATATTATTTATAGTTATATTTATAATTATAATCAATCTATAGTGGCGGAAAACGTTACCACCTTCCGCCCGTTGCGCCTGTGCGATCACGCGTTCAAGTCACCTGCGGGCAGTGGCGCACACAGGGAGGGTCAGGGGTGTCGACTGACACCCCACAGAGAATTGGTGGGTGACTAGTGATGTGTGAACTAGGATGAATATTTGTTTAATATTAATAGTATCAATATGTAATTATGTATTATTCTAATAATTGCAACATTTATAACCCACCAAACACGCGGCGGAAGTGCGGAACCGTTTAAACTCCGAACAACAGTAAGGTATGGTAAGGTTAATGGTTATTATCAGTTATCACTTATCAGTTTTTCATATAATCACAATAACACGTGCTATCATAAATTCGTCGTTATGACAATATCAATATTCAAACGTTCAAACGTTGTTGTACACGTCTTGCACCTATGTAGGTATTTTGTATTTTGTACTTCATGGATGTTGCATTTTGGCACGGTAAAACTGTAAAAGTTTATTTATTACTAAGTGTTCACTATTATTGTGTTAGCTAATAATTTAAACATGGACTCAGAAAAGTGTTTATATTGTGGAAAAAACAGAGATAACTTGCATCACAAAAATTGGGCGAGACACGTAGAATCTTGCAACAAAAAAAGAAAACGTAATAGTAATAGCACTTGTGATATAAAAAAATTCTTTTTAACAAGTGCTATCTCATCAAAACCGACTCAAATGAGTTCTACATTAACCCAAGGTAATTTAATGTGTTTTTACAATAGATATTTGTACAAACTTTTTGATTTTCGCAGACAGAAATTTTTTTTTATTAGTATTTTAGTAATTTAGTTTAGTTAGTATTTTTCATTTGCACCATAATTTGTTTACCATTATCATTTAACATGCTTGATTTGTGTTATAGATCAGTCTATTTCTGAAAACTTGGATAACAATTTCACTAATTCACTATTTAATGACAATCCTGCTTCAATAGGTATTTTAATTTGATTTATTTTACCATTATTTCTTTTAACTTTAAAAACAAAATTATCTTTTTCTTAGGCCAAGAGAGTGATTTGACAAATGTTGATGCAGCCTTAAATACAGATTTAGTTCTAGCAGGTACAATAATTTCATTATTCTCCATGTAACAATATTCCTGACTGATTGGTGTTTTAATTTGATTTATTTTATTAATTGTATTTTTTTTAAGTTTTTAACTTACAATTTAAGAATTAAAAATAAAATTGTTTTTATTTTAGGCCCAGAAAGCGATTTGACTAATGTTGATATGGTCTTAAATACTGATTTAGTTCCAGCAGGTAAAATCATTGACGTAGTGGATCAATTTTATGTGTACTTAATAAAATAATTTTAAATTATGAAGTTCATTGTGTTTCACATAGGTTATTTTTGTTTACTATTTGTGTTTTTGTATTATGTATTAATGTTTTATGATTATATGTTGTTTTTATTTTTTACACATTTTTCTTATTTATCATCTCGCTATCTAATTTATTCAGCTTGTGTAATAGGTAAGTAATATTAACATTTTAAACTAATAATGGATTCTGCTAATGGATTAAAGTGAGTTAAAATATTTATAATACTCATTGTCAGTGTCTTATTTTGGAATTATATTTTTGTTTTATCTGTTTAGTAAATTAAATTATTTAGTATAGCCTTTGCACTAACATATAGTTTTTAACTAGTATTATAAAATTTATTATACTAAAAAATATTTAACGTTTATTAATTTTTTTTAATGAATTTAAAAAATGCAGATAATGATCCAGTGGTTTCTACTAACAGCATTTTTATATAAAACTATTTTTAATATTATTACTCCGTTAAGTAAATTATTACAAACTAAAGATATTGATATGATAGGTGTTGTTACTGAGGTTCAAAAAAAAATTAGTGAATTAAAAAATTCTCGAAGTAATTTTAAATTTCAGAACATTGTTAATGAAGTCGAAAATTTCAAAAAATCTTCAACATTGTCTTATGAAAATTTTAAACCTTTAGCTCAGAAGCGGACTAAACGAATTCCACAATTACCAGGAGAGTTAGCTTCTGATGAAATAATTGAAAATCCACTAGACAATTTTAAGATAAATACATTTTTTGTAGCGTATGACACATCAATTACTCAAATTGAATCTAGATTTACTGAACAAACTTCTGGTATATTCAAAGATATATCACTATTTTCTCGTCGACGTATTGAGGAAATATCAAAAGACTTACAAACATTTCCTAAAGATGCATTTTCTGTGTTTGCAGATGTTTATAAAAAATATATTAATGTTGAAGACCTTAGGAGAGAGTACTTACATTTCTGTAAATGTTATTTTGGTTTTGAAAAAATTAAGTATATACCAACAAAATTACATAACAGTAATAACGATGAAATTCATGAAGACACTTCATCATCTTTGGACTCTGATAATTCAAATTTAGAAACTGAACATCCATTTAATGAACTTCCTAATAATGGATGCAGTCTAAGTATTGTTTTAAATGTCCTTAGAATCAGTGGTTTAGATACAACCTTTCCAACACTTAATGTTGCTTTAAAAATAGCCTTAACACTACCGGTAGCAAGTACTACTCCTGAAAGGACTTTTTCCAAACTCACAATCATAAAAAATAAATTACGAAGCACTATGTGCCAAGAAAGATTAGATAATTTAATGATATTGTCCTGTGAAGCTGACATTCCTATTAACAAAAATAATATTATTGATGAATTCGCCAAGTCTAGTGTGCATCTGGAAAAAGCTTTGCTCTACTAAACTAATAACTATTATATATATTTAAAGATGTAGGTACCTACTTATTTAATTACTATTTAAATAATAAATGTGTTATTTAATTTTTTTCATAATAAATTAATCCTATTCAACAAAACCTATTTTATGTAAGTTGTTTTAAAAAATACTTTTATCTACCTATTTTTCAGCTATTTAAATCAACATACTAATTATTTTTACCCTAGAATTAAAGTGCCACACAAGAATAAGTAGTAGGACTCAATCCCAAAAATTATGCTATACAAATTTATAAATTAATACCCCAGAAAATTGAAAAATATTTAATATTAAGTTTATTTTTTTTTAATTTTATTTTTAGTATCTTTGTCAGTGAGAAAAACCAAAAACACTTAAAAATAAGAGTTATGGTATGCCTAAACTCAGATTTTACTGGTGGGGGTGGGTGGGTACCTCGAAATATATATTTTCGACACCCTTGTGAAAAATCTACTGTGCGCCACTGCCTGCGGGTAAACGACTCAGAACATATTATTGTGTGTATAGACTATAGATATTATATTATAAATTATCCATTTCAAATATCGTAACTTCTAAATTATACAATATACATAATAGGTATATTATGATATAACTGAGAAAGAAATAAAAGAGAGAACATAAAGTAGTGAAGGAGCCCGCAAATTAACTGTATACATTTTACTACGTTGTTCCTTTTCTCGCTCATTCTATGTCTTCTCTCTCTAAGCATTGGTTATTAGTTTATAGGTCTATACTATTAATACGTTATTCGATATATTAACAGTTAATTTGTTTGTAAAAATATATTTAAATATCCTTAAATATTTACAGAACACTATTCTATTTCTTATTGAATTGTCATTCGTAGTTTGTCGATTAGGCTGAGTACTTCGTGTGATTTTCGTAGTAAAACGTTTATTTATCACCAAATCATATACTTATCTGCCGGACGGCCGTTCTAGACACTTGGGATTTTTTTCAATGCAAAGCCGACATAGCTTAGGTCCTCCCGAATGCAACCATACTACTTGCAGAGCTCGAAGTCCAAAACTGGACATACTACGACCGTCTAAAGGCGAGTATCTACGATTAACGGAAAAACAGATATGTTCCAAAGGGAGGGGTATTGAGCACATTTACAGCGGTACAGTATTTCCACTTTGAACCGTCACCAAAACTACAATTCTCGTACCACCTTTATAAATAGCATATCTATCGATTGGTATACACGTCAGTTACTCGGTGTAAAAGTTTCAAAGTTAAAAACTTAGAATTACGGCGTCCAGGACTTATAACTGGAAAAATGATTTTTGTAGTTGCAATCCAGCGGTAAATCATATACTTATCTGCCGGACGGCCGTTCTAGACACTTGGGATTTTTTTCAATGCAAAGCCCACATAGCTTAGGTCCTCCCAAATGCAACCATACCACTTGCAGAGCTCTAAGTCCAAAACTCGACATACTACGAAACGTTTACCACATTCATATAATCAGCTGTTGTACCGGTGTTATCTAATTTTTTTGTGCATCGCGATCATAGATAAAACAAAAAAAACATGATATTGACGAAATGACGATTGAAATCACAGATATATACAATAACTAGATAGCTAACTGATTATATCTGACGCACTATGATTAAGAAGCCGAACGCCATATGCGTGGTAGTCAATGTTTTTGTTTGTTATCACTTTATCAATTCGAATTTATCATCATATTATTGTACAGATATTATATCAATAATTTATTGTATAAATCTGTGTATTATAAACAGTCAATTATTGCTAATATAATTTTCATTTTTCATAAAAAAAATTGTGTTTTTAAGTACTTAATTAAATATGCCGCAGAACATTTCTTTTTGCTTCTAAGTTCTAACTGATAACTTGAAAAACATAAATATACCAAATTTATAAAATAAAATAATTGCACTTGTCAATAATAAATTTGTGATTGTAGTTGATAATATATTTAAGACACTTAATTGTGAAAATGTATTATATTGGTCGAGTACCCACTTATTGTTATTTGTTTTTACCTGGTTATACTTGTTTAATCTCTTTTCCGTGGTTCATACATTTATATAATATTATATATTATATAGTTATATATTTGTTATACTACTTATAATTATAAGTACTTAACAATTTTATTTTATATTTAAATAAATTACTTATTAATTATTATTACTAATAAGTAATAACACTTTAATTTAATATATTGTATTTCATAGTGATAAGAAATGATAACAATAATTAATGTAAACATTGACTACCACGCATATGGTGGTTGACTTCCGACTGATACACTAATTAGCTATCTAGTTATTGCACAGATATAGATAATAAACTAGATTGCTAGGTTCCTTATACTGACCGTATAAACGTTTGAAGCCACACATCCGCCATTACTAGTAGGTCATTCGTATCTTATCATGTTATAATTTTGATAGCCCAATATCTCAGTTCTCACTGATTTCTGATTTAGACAGTAATAAATAAATGTTTTTAAATTTTAAATTTTAAAATGTGCGAAGGTAACAAATTTATTTTATTATTTGACGTTTGCTAAATAATTTAGAAATTATTGTTGTCTGATTAATTTATTATTTTGATGTTGATCTATTAAATAATTTTATGTTATGTTTATAATTTGTATATAAACATATAAATTAGATAAGTGTATTATAATACTATTCTGTAGATACTGTTTTATTTAATAAAACAGTTACTTAACTAGGAAATAGGTGTATAGGTATTTTGACAAATTAAAACAATGTTACACAATATAAAAAATAAATACTTTTACATGTTATAAAATAGAATAGTTTTATGAAGCTTCTGTCTTTTGCTAGCCACCTTCATTATTGAAGAAGTTAATATTTTGCTATAAGAGTGTAGTCTTATATTTAAATATGTGTGTGAAATTAGGTTAATTAATTTAATTTTGTGAGGTCTTGCATGTATGTCTGTTACATACCAACAATCTTTACTTTCAGGAAAAAGAGTTGCCGATAATGCTAATGTATTTTGAACCCAGAGGATTATTTTAGTATCTACATTCTTAGACATCAATTGCTGTTTATCAGAAACTACAGACTTAAAGTATGCTTCAGTGGTTTTGATAACTCTGAAAACACTTTCTGATGCTAATTCTAAGCCTCCTCTGTTCTTCATTCTTGTGAGAGTTTTGAATGATTCATTCTCTACTGTACAGTATGTATGATCTTGCACATATGAATCATCTGTCACAGCTTTGATGCATTTTTCACAGGTGAGTACTGGTAATAATTTTTTTATTACATATCCTGCTATATAATAAAGCACATTGTCTGTCAATGAATTTAAAATCGGGTTGTTGCAGTTGTCAGTTATTAATTGTACCTGTTCCTCATTTTCTAGAACATGTTCATTTTTTTTATACTTCCATTTTAATGAAAACAAAGAATCTTCATGAGAAGTCAATAAGGAACAATTTCCAGTTGATTGTTTGATTGAAATATGCAGTAAAATACTTCTTAAAGCGTACTTAAACTGTAGACAGTTTGGATTATCATTATGTCCAAAACGTCCTCTTATATGACCAAAAAACAACTCAATATAATCTTGACTAAATTTGTATGTTAAAATATATAGAAAATTTTGATTGGCAAGTAATTTTTTAGATATTTCAAGTATTGATTTTATTGCAGTTGCGAAACCAAGAATAAAAGTTTTCCTCCGACTTTTCCATAAATCTACTCCATCAACAGTTTTTAGAGAGTATAAATATTTGATTAACTGAGTCATTCGATTTTCCAGGTAAACAATATTGTTAGATCTAATAGGTTGCTTATGTCCTTTGGCAAATGGATTTCTTGAGTTAAGAAAATCAAAAATTTCATCAACTATACGTATAAATTTAATTGTTGGGTCGCAATTTTTAAAATCATCGGTTTTTTTTTTTCAGATACTGCAATGAATCAGCTACAGAACTGCTCAACGTTTGTACGGCCAACTTCACCTTCATGCTGTTTGCATTCCAGTTAATGTGTGATGTGCTCAACTTATTTGCAAATTTGAACCCAATCTCACTTTGAAGTTTAATAAGTTGTTCTATGTATCTCCATTCTATTAGGTTTCCATCTTCGTCTTTGAATGCCTTGAATGTACCTAAAGCATTTCTTGCCAACTTAATGTTATGACAAGCATCTGGAGTTAAGTAAATATTTGGTGTATTTGGATCAATATTAAAATGTGGTTTTAAATCTTCAAAAGTTTGGTTTAAATTACATCCCAATATTTGAAAAGAACTAAAATTGGCGTATGCACCATCACATGTTACACTTAACACATTAATACCATATTTTTGACATTCTGACACTGCTATACGAATTAACTGGGCCTGCACTGATGATTTTATCTTATCCACAAACCAATAGCCTATAGGCCATTTCCACGCTTTCTTTAAGCTTGATAACATAAATACCAAAACTTCAGATGCTGGTTGTTCGCAGTCTTCAATTGTTAAATTATTTCCGTAATCACAATATCCAACATATCTACCCATTATTTGTTAAGTACAATTAGTATTTAAAATATAATATAAAGTAATAATGAATACCTGTTAGTAGCTTTATCCCAATGTACTTCTTTTTTTATGCTCATAGAGTCTAATATCAAGCAACAGTATTTATCAACATCTTCAAATTTACCTATTTCCATTAACACATCGCTTAAAAATCCAGTATTTACATTTACATTTGAAAGCCAGTTTCTAATTGCACTTGGATTCGGCAAATGTATTGAAGACCTGAACATTTATTTTATTTTTAGAATGTGACATTGAAATGAATTGTTTAGAATACAAATGTTTAAATGTTTAATATAATCATCACATATTACCTTACAAAATCATACGCTTTAGGTGAATAAAAGTAAAGTGTAGTGGCAAATTTTTTAACATCGTCACTGTATCGTTTTCCTGAAGGTGGAACTTTACTGTTTCTAACTAGATCTTCTAG